TTTCCAAACACAAAAACTAAAATAGCCTACTAAAATAGTCAAAAAGCCAAAAAATCTCTAAACCAGCCACTTCCCAAACGCCCACATAATATAGTGCACAATTAACAAACATAATGGGAGAACAAACACGTTACAAGAGTAACAAGACTTGAACCTAGGGCCTCCTTGAACCAGAGTTCTGATACCACATTAAGCCATAGATTGTCCAAAAAGTTTAATGAGCTAACAGACATCATGAAAATAATGAGACTACAAAACCACTAAAATACCTCTTCTGCGTGGAAAAAACAAAATCCTTAAAAAATATAAATAAATAAACTATACATATCTTACATGATTGCAGTGTTGTTACTCCTTTCTTGAGTTCGTGGAAGTCACGACGAGCCCGATGACCACGAAATCGTTTCTGCACCTCAAGTGTGCCTTGCAGAACTTGTTTTCTCGTATCCTCTAATGCAGCAATCTATGAAACAGCATGATACAACATCAGAGAAAACAATTTTCAGGGAAAATATTGCTTGAATTAGAAATAACTACATTTTACAGCTGCAAAAGCTCAGCAGGTTAACATAGAATTTTCTTTCAAGTTCTGAGTTCATGTAACTGAATACTCCTCCAGATAAAACATTTGATTAGGTGAATTTCTTAGTCAAACGTCAAGAATGATTTCTATTTCATTTTTTTCTTTTTTTCTTTTGTTTGATTTGACCATTTTTGTTCAAGTTTATGAAGATAACCCAAAACAAATAACAAAGATGAAATTAAATCCCCACAATTATCATGAAATTAAATCAACAAATTACAAAGATGAAATTGAAACTCATCAAAAAAAAAAAAAAAGGGACTTTGAAAAAACAAAAAAGAAAGAATATTCTACCCAAGAACTTGATTTCAACTATGGGTTCTGCTGCAGCAGCTTGAATGAAGATCTTTGGGACAATAGAAAATAGATAATGTTACAAAAGAACACAATTTGATCAAAGTTTTTACCTTCTTAATAAAATAACCAACGTTATCATTCCACTTCGATTCCCGAAACCTCGGCAGTGAGGCGGAAGGCTCATCTGCAAGATTTGCAGTGTCTGTTTTCTCCCGTCTCTGCTCACATTCCTTCTCTTCTGGCACTGTAATAACATACGGCGATTCACCGGGAAACTCTTTGTCCTTTTTTCCCCCAAAACTACCAACTCTTGGTTGTTTAACCTCTCGTTTTTTGCTAGATTGATTCAACAACTTCGTTGGAGCAGCCATAGCGATCTCAACATTGAAGTTCGCCGGCAACGACTGCCTGGCGGCAGGGCCGGCCCTGAGTTCGTCGGGGCATAAAGCGAATTTCGGAAATGGGAGTGTTTTTATATTGAAAAAAAATTTATGAATAAAATGATAAGTTACCATTTTTTTATTGTAGCCATAAAAAAATTTACTTACACATATAATTATTAAAATTATAAATAAAATAATTTAATAAAACAAAATTAGAACAAAAAAATTAGGAAAAAATTATTCAATTAAAATTGATAAAGACTGATCTGTTTGATCAGTTGAAGGGGTCTTGTTGTTTTTCTAAAATAGACCTGAGGTCAGGTTACCATCAGTTGAGGGTAAGGGAGGAGGATATCCCGAAGACGGCATTTTGTACGCAGTGTGGCCATTATGAGTTTCTAGTGATGCCTTTTGGGCTGACCAATGCCGAGCTGTGTTTATGGATTTGATGAATCGGATCTTCCATGAGTTTCTAGACCATTTTGTGGTCATCTTTGTGGACGACATCTTGATTTATTCGCCCTCTGAGAAAGAACATGTATATGGACCCAAAAAAATATTTTGGGCCCTTTAAATTGATCCTAAAACCAAAAAAAAAAAAACATTGAGCCTATAATATTTTACCAAATTTAGGGGCCCTATTTTTGGGCCAAATTTAGGGGCCCTATGTTATATATGTTTATATGTTTTACTAAATTTAGGGGCCCTATTGTTTTATATTTATTTATTTATATATTTTCATTTTAATAAATATGGGCCAAACATATTTATAAATAAATATGGGCTAAATTATACATAGGCCCAATAAAACATTTGAGGCCCTTTAAATTGATCTTAAAGCTAAAACCAAAAAAAAAAAAGGTTGAACCTATAACAATTTTTTAAATTTGAAAGCCCTATTTTTGGACCAAAATATGGGGCCTAAGGCACAAGTCTTACCTGCCTTAGGACAGAGCCGGACCTGCCTGGCGGCGGGAAGCCGAGCCCTGGAAGTGGGCCGAGCGGGCAACGCCGGCGACAAGTCACGCGGCTTGTTATCCTCGTCCTTTCGCCGGAGAGACTCCAACATCTCCTCCAGCGAACTCCGAGTTAGAGACGTCGGAGACACAGACAACATCAAACCCCCAAATCAACGAACGACTTCGTTCCTTCTTATAGTCGTTCGAGACCTGCCTGGCGGCGGGACCAAGCCCTGGAAGTGGGCCGAGCGGGCAACGCCGGCGACAAGTCACGCGGCTTGTCATCCTCGTCCTTTCGCCGGAGAGACTCCAACATCTCCTCCAGCGAACTCCGAGTTAGAGACGTCGGAGATACAGACAACATCAAACCCCCAAATCAACGAACGACTTCGTTCCTTCTTATAGTCGTTCGAAATCTGGTTGATTTGGGGGTTTGAAAATTCTCCTAATACAATGATGTTGTCTGTGTCTCCGACGTCTCTAACTCAGAGTTCGCTGGATGAGATGTTGGAGTCTCTCCGGCGAAAGGACGAGGATGACAAGCCGCGTGACTTGTAGAAAGCAAACGATGAATATCTGTTGCGACAAAATATTTTCCGAAAACAGAATAAGATATTCATCGTTTGCTTTCTACAATTGCTCAGTCTTGACAGCTCATTCATACAAAGTTCCTAGTTTTGTTTCCCAAAATTTCGATTTCATGCAACGTTGAAACTACTTTATAGTCGTCAACACCACCAGCAAAAAGTAGGTTTTAATTTGCTCGGAACGAAACGGGTTTGCTTATTCACCAAAAAAAAAACGGGTTTGCTTCCTCACTGTCAGCACGAGTTACGAGGTGAAAACAGTAGAAGAAGGAACGAAGGTAAAGTTTAGAGAGAGAGAGAGAGAGAGAGAGAGAAAGGTGGAAAGAGGAAGGATTAATGGCAGAAACAGAAATTATTATCACATTAAAAAGTTGCTTTTAAAAAACTGTTGCGGCCGTTTTTGAAAACAAAACTTCCGTTTTCAGAAAAAATAAAAAATATTTATTGTCGAATCAATTATAAAAACTTTAATAAATGGAAGATTTTGTTTGTTGTTGTTTTAAGAAATTTTAAACGGGTTTGCTTCCTCACTGTCAGCACGAGTTACGAGGTGAAGACAGTAGAAGAAGGAACGAAGGTAAAGTTTAGAGAGAGAGAGAGAGAGAAAGGTGGGGAAAGAGGAAGGATTAATGGCAGAAACAGAAATTATTATCACATTAAAAAGTTGCTTTTAAAAAACTGTTGCGGCCGTTTTTGAAAACAAAACTTCCGTTTTCAGAAAAAATAAAAAATATTTATTGTCGAATCAATTATAAAAACTTTAATAAATGGAAGATTTTGTTTGTTGTTGTTTTAAGAAATTTTGAATTTTCAGGTGGGGTGTGGCGTTGGTGTGGGGCGTACGTTTCTTAATAGACCCGCTGTGATACTTGATAAGGAATCAAAATACTAGTAAGGCCAAGTTTGGCAACTTACAAAAAAGTTAAAAAGTTAAAAAGTCACTATCTTATTTAAGTCACATCATCTTATTTAAGTCACATCACCTCTCTAATACATCACTTCAAACCCAATCCATATTTTATAAAAAGTCAAAAAGTATACTTATTTAGAACATCCCAAACAATGTTTGATTTGAGTTTTTTAGATTAAATTTTTTAAAAATTGACTTTTTTAATTTTCGTGTTTTTTTATTTTTAGTGAATATTTTTTAAATTTTAAATTTTTTTTTATTTTTTTAGATGCACCTTACTTAGATGTATCTAAAAAGTAAAAAATTTGTGAAAAAATATTTTTAAAAATTAATAAATACATAAAATACAAAAAAATATATTGAATTCTTGTATTTTTTTGTATTTTTGGTATTTAGTGAATTTTATAATTTTTTTTTACTTTTTAGGTGTATTTATGTTAGGTGTGTCTAAAAAGTAAAAAAATTGTTTAAAATATTAAAAAAATTCAGTAAAAACAAAAAAATACGAAAAATAAGAAAGTAAAATTTGCTGAAAAGTATTTTTTGAAAAGTGAAAACAAGCAAATGTGAATAAATATGAATATATTATAATATATATATATAAGAAAATGCTATTATAGCTAAATTTATTTGGATAAATTATATTTTTGTCTTTAAAGTCTTATCTCGTTTTTCACTTTCCTTAATTAAATTATTTGGCTTTTTTTAGATAAATTATATTTTATTTTTAAAATTTTCTCTCTTTTTTCACTTTCCTAATTAAATTATTTGGCTTTTCTCTAATTAGTTTAACAGTTGACATTAGGACGAGCTTGGTCAAGGTGAAAAAATGGAATTTGAGCTTATCTGTGAGCTTATTCAATAAAAAAAATTCTCACAAATTTGTTGATTGATTTGTTGAGACATATTTTTCATAGAATCAAATTTCAAATCTTACATCCAAATATAAACGCATCATTATTCGGTTAGCTCAACTCACCTAGTATATAGGTTTGGATCGTACAAAAATTTATCGATCGTATTGTTTAGGTTAAATAATGATCCATATTACTATACAATTATCAACATGTGTAAGGAGAAATTTTGATATTATCTAAAATAGTATCTATACTCAAGCATTAATAAATACTCTCATACCCAAATCTAAATCCAAACCCAAACCCTAAAAACTCTCCATCAAAGTTCCCATATTCTCCATTCATCCCTTCTCTTTTAATTTGCCACAAACCTCACTTTCTTTTTCCTCCATCTTCCATCCCCATTACAATTTTCTCTTCCCTGGAATTATCTCATACAATTGTTGCCAAACTATAGCCCTCAATCCCGTACTCTAACACCACCTTTACCCACCAATTTTCAATGTCTGCAATTATCCATCACGGCTCGAAGCTTCCCCTGAATTCCCCTAATTTAATTAATTTTTTTTTTTTTTTTTCAGAAGAAAGAAGATATGAATATATGTAGGATTTGAAACTTTGGAATCTTTCTATTTCTTTTGTAATTATTTTCTCATACAAAATATCAACTGTTATATGCCCATTTTAAATCTCTGATGGATTATTTTATGGATGAAGTTCCTAGGCAAAAGTATTGTGAATCCATACATAAAACTGTCAGGAGGAAAACCCGTACAGTGATGGTTGGGAATGTGGCTATTGGAAGCGAGCATCCTATAAGAGTTCAAACTGCTCGACGATCGGCCGGTCGGCAGCAGCAAGGAGGGGCCCTCTCCATTCCCTCTTCTCTTTCTTTCCTCTTTCTCTCTTTCGGGGGATTCGGGGGAGGAAATTAGGAGAAAAAACATTTTTATTTTTTTTTTTACTTACTAGCGTTTGAATCACTTGATATAAGGGGTCCTGTCTTGAGAGTGTTCTGAATATCAAAAATAAAAATAAAAATATATGAGATGATAAAATTTGGTCATCATTTGATATACTCCCTTCGTCCCAAAATAATGGTCCCTTTTGGAGAATCCAACTTTTTTTGATAGTACAATTATTGCATTTGAAAAAAGTTGATTTTTCAAAATTATCCTTTTGATAATACATTTTTTGGGAATATCAGTGTCATAATTGTACTTTTTATAGGCCATCGAATGCCAAAATCGTGCAACAGTCATGAGATGGCCTGGGGAACATCTCAAACACCTCGAGAGAGACTAATGTAAGTTGTGAAAACTTACGAAACTAGTACGGGATTTCTGGTTTGAAAACTAAGTCGAAAAAGACACTTTTTTTACACATAAGCTTGAAAATAAATTTTCGGGGGTCAAAATCGGACAACAGCCACGAGACGGCTCAGAGAACACTTCAAACACCTCGGGAGGGACCAATGTGAGTTGTGGAAACTTACGGAACTAACACGGGGATTCCGGGTTTGAAAATTAAGTCTAAAAATACACTTTTTCACACTTAAACTTGAAAATAGGCCACTGGATGTCAAAATCGTGCAACAGCCACGAGACGGCCCGGGGAACACCTCAAACATGTCGGGCGAGACCAACATAAATTGTGAAAACTTACGGAATTAGTACAGGACTCCCGGTTTGAAAATTAAGTCCAAAAATGTACTTTTTCACACTTAAGCTACAAA